GTCACAAGATTGCCCCAGGTTGTTAAAGGGCTAAATGAAGAAAAGACTCCATTGATAGACAAAGAACCCGAGGAAGCAAGCAAACAAGACCTAGTAAAACAAAAGCTGCCTGCTTCAGTAAGAAGCAAACAGTATGAATTACCTTCAGACGCTGTCGTTCGGCATCATATTACCCTGGTGAGCAGGAAGGTGGAACTGTTAGGAGGGTGACAGATCCGATTTGGAGCGTAGACATTTATCAAGTGGAAAAGCGCACAAGCCAATTTAAACAAATTAATAATAGAAAGATTAAAACGGGCCCTACTTTATATTATTTGCTTGATGGACCCCAACGGTCATTTGGGCAAGAGGAGCTTCAAGTGGTGCTGGAAGATGCCAAGTTACTGCCTTCTGATGATATGTAATAATGGCCATAGGCTAATGTATCAGTGCCATTTGGTAAAATGAATCGTTTTGTGTCTAACGGAGAAAGGCTAAGTTTATTTTGACATACCGTAAATACTTGATGTCTGTCAGATCTAAACAACTGTTGTTTAAAAAATCCTTGGCGCTGGTTCACAGACAGTCTTTATAATTTGTGTGCGATAGTTCCTTTTTCGTTATGACTTAAGTAACGCCTTTCGTTTTCTTTAAATTTATGGCTTCTGTCATGATGGAATACATTTTTTGGGTCAAATGCAAATGACTTCCAATATCAGTTGTCCGCCAAATTTGTCTTTCATTTTGCCAATGACTTTTATATTTGTAGAATCGTAAATTGGATGATCCAGCGAATAATTTGACAAATCAAATTCTTGATTGTTTTGATATTCATATACATGTATGTCGTCGTTCCACATGTAACAGCAGCGAATCGGTATCTGTATAAATTAACTTGATTTTGTCTCCAAAATGATGTTTCCATTTGTAATAAAAGTCGTACATTTGAATTTTAGATAAATCTAAAATACAAACGCCACAGTAGATAGGCTTATTTAATATGGTCTCATCATTAAACATTTCAACAAACGAAAGATCGCATTCAGGAAATGATGTTACTGTTTTAAAATTCGACAACAAAGTCAATTTTGTAAATTTATATCTTCATCCCTAAGCAGATGACCTTCAATATGACTGTGCGTATTTTCCATTGATTTGCCAAACAAAGAATTATTTAGTAGCTTGAAGAAGTCTTTTTCGAAATTGGATTTATACAATTCAGTGTTTTTGTCAATGTAGTCTTTCATCCATGCTTTCTGTTTAAAAGACGGAACCTGACGAAGCTGTTTCAATTCTAAACCAAGTTGTAAATACAATTGCAATTTTCGATAATGTAATTTATATTTTTCTTTTGTACCTGAAGTGGCGACAAATTTATTTATTGCGGCGAGTTTTTTGTCGTTTAGATCAATCAACTGTTTTTGATATGGCGATAACCATTCTTTTGGAATTAGAATATTTTCAGGCACCTAAGGGAAGTCGTTATGTTTATCATGCAAATGTTAGGGATAATCCAAGGTTACTCCAAACATGTAGCCAGTAGGACCATAAGAGTCCAATTGAAAAAAATAAAATTGTGAGTAAATTTCTCCAGATTTTTTCCTTTTTAAATTTGTCTTCGGGCATTGGTTCTGACTTTACCCAGCCATAAAGATTATTTTTATCTAAATCTATAATGTAAGTCGAAGGCTTGCTCCAGTTGTAATCTGGCAAATATTTGTTGTTTGCTTTAGCGTGATGTTTGGCTCCCACGCTCGAAATACCGCCGCGTTTGGCACATTCAAAGTACAGATGTTCGTCAGTCTGCCAATAGTTCTAGTTCTACTTGGGAATATATCTGCTTGTCTCAATGAACTATAAAATGCTTCTTGTGGGGGTAAACAAGTGTCTTTAAATTGGTCAAACGAGTCTATATATTCATATGGGTAAATGCCTTTTGTAACACAATTCGGTATTTTGAGGAAACTTTTCATTTCACAAATTGTGAAAAAGTGTGCCAAAAGTGGGAAAAGATTTGCAAATATTTTCCCACAAGTGGGAAAAGATTTTCACTGATTTTCCCATAAGTGAGAAAAGATTTTTTGCGCTTTTTCTCACCAGTGGGAAAATATTTTCACAGATTTTCTCTGGTAGTGGGGAAATAATTTTGC